GCTCTAGACCAAATGGACCAATTGGTCCAAATGGACCAATCCGCGGAGCTCCGCACACACACTCCCTCAGCCTTATTTTTTCTCAGCCGTGGTGCTCCGCGGAGCTCAGGCTGTGTGTGTGTGTGTGCTCAGGCTGAGCTCCGCTGTGTCTCGCTGTCTCGCAGACCCCACGCAGCAACCAGGAAACGACACCAGTAATCCAGCTCACACTGTCGGCTCCTCGATCCTCACAGGGCGGAGCAGCGAGCCCCGCAACGTCCCGCCAACACGGCACCCAGACCCTAGGGAGGGGGGGGCAGGAGCTCCAACAAGCCGTTTAGGACAGAGAGTGAATACACATACTATACAGAGATGCTGTATGAGAAACCAATGTGAGTTTGGAACATTGAACAATGTAAATCTATTCTAGTAGACCTCAACAATGGAATTATGATCAGTAGAAATGGCCATGACATGGGACCTTTAAACATTCTGTTGTGGTCACTTTACTCTTTGAAAGTCATCACATGAATGCATTGTAATGAATGGTTTGGCTGCATTAAACATTACACATCTGTCGTAGTTCTTTATTTATCTACAGAGATCGGGCCTCAGAATAGACCGGAAACTATTATTTTACCGTTCGGTTTTAATTTCACAATAAAGTTAGTAGTAATATTTTGTTTTGATATTATTGTTTTTTATTAACTACTAGAGCACTGGGTCATGTTAAGACCATCTTTTCTGTGTCGCTGTGGGTTTTTTACATCGCTTTTGTGTTACAAATATCAAAAGAATAACAGAATATATCCGTCGTAAACTAAACCAGAAACAGCAGTATATTTTATTTTTTTAACACTGTAAACTTGACAGCTTTTTAACCCAAACCACCTACTGGTTAAAGCACGTTATTACACGTTTAGAGTAAATGCAATGCAGGTAGATTGTGTTGCTTTTTAATGACTGTTTAAAATGCCTTTTTCTTAATGTCTTTCATTTTTGTAAAGCACTTTTGAATGTGTTGTATTTTATGAAAACATTTAAATATTAAGAGTATATACAAAATAGGAGGAAAGTAGAAGGTCAATGATAGAAATATAGAATAGAAAATATCAAGAAGATACTGTAAATGGTATCTAGAATAAAACAGTTTAGTGCCGGATAGGAGGATGTGCAAAACAGACAAACTAATTAGGCTTTATTTAAACATTAAATAATACTTTAGGTTAAGGTCTTCTTTTAAATACATGTAAGCAAAAAGCTTTGGGGGTATCTATATTAAGCCTGACAAAGTACTTCACGTTTAATATATTGCATGGTTTGTTTTGGGACTTGACAATCAACTTTCCTGCAATGCTAACTATGTTGAAGCACTTATTTTAACCGATATTATACATATTTATTATACTCTTATAAGATGTATGTAGATAGTATAAGAAATGTGCAGAATATGTTTAATGGTGGAGGTACACAGATATCGATAGATGTCTTGTAATGCACTGTTGATGAACCTATGACCCAAGTTTGTCATCATTGCATAACTACACCGTAGTTGTGTATATGATATTTCAATAAACCTTTGAAAATCTTGAAATCTTGAAAGGGATGTGCAAAATAGCCATTATATACAGTTTTTGATGAACAATTAGAGAATAACGAGTAATGAATATGCTTTATAGGGATCTGCAGATACATTTTTTGTCTTCTCATGCACCCACTATCAAATATCTCGCCTGATTGTTTTCACTTGACAATCACCTTCAATGAATTTTACTCAGGTGTAACTAAAGTCTGATTTAAGGGTTGTTTATATTTCACATCATTAATCCTAATCTGTAAAGCCACTAAAATAAATGTAGTGGAGTAAAAATACCAGGTTAACCTTAAAGAAAGCCCTCAGGATTATAAAAGACCCCCATCACCCCAGCCACAAACTGTTCTGTCTGCTGCCGTCTGGCAGGCGGTACCGCAGCATCCGGACTAAAACCACCAGACTCAGGGACAGCTTCATCCCACAGGCCATAAGACTATTAAACACCTGAACTTAGAAACAACATCCATAACATTCATCTGGCTGCTACTTAGAAATTATTTGTCTAATATATCATATTCCAATCACTTTCATATAGACTCTTATTGCACTATTTAACTTTTTACTATTTTACTAATTTTCTTTTTTTATTTACTTGCACTATTTTTTCTGTGTAACTGTTTTATTGTGTTGCACTGTTGGAGGAGCCTGTAACCTAAGGGGGGGGGGGATAGTGTGCCGTCAATGGGTTTTATTCCATTTCAAAGTGCTGTTTGACGCGGTGTAAACTTTGCGCACTGCCACTCCAACATCCAATCACAGAGCTTGAGAACTAATCACAGGGTTTGTCAAACAAAGCACATGGTGTAGTCCCAAACAATAGCTGAGGATTCTGGGTAGTGTAGTGTCTTCTGCCATCCTAAACTCCGAAAAAATATTTGTTTCTCCGAATCGAAAGGGGAAAATACAAAAGCATTGTACACAATTTAAACCAATCAATGTTGTGTAATTAACAAGGATAATCTGGTGTTTTTGAGTTGATAAGTAGTGCAGATATCACTGTAAAATCAATCGACAGTAAGGAGAATAGTTACTTCCGGGTGTAAAATCCTCCGTTATCCAATGGGAATGGACGCTCACATTGCCTTTAAATCCCGCCGACATGGACCGATGCGGTGCTTCCCTGAGCGTCAAATACCGCTGCCGATGGGAATACATTGCAATCAGTTGAAAGCTCTTTGCGTCCGTTTATGAAGCTGAAGGAGCCTCGGCGTGTCCCAACTGCACGCCACGGGACCCTGACCAAGCGTCGCTCCTGGAAGTTTAGGGAGTGAGAGTGTGTTGGTAAAACAGCTCCTTCAATATTGTCGGGGCCAGGGCTTTTTCGTGTATTACACTTTCTGAAGAGATGGATGACTTCTGACTCTTCAATAGTTATACTAGAGGAGAGGGGGGGAGCATGGAGGGGAATTACAGTATCAGCCTCTATACTGTTGCTACTCTCAAACCGGCAGAAGAAGGTGTTCAATTGATTTGCCGTCTCCCTTCCCTCACTACTGATCAAGACAGGAGACGGTTTTCCCCTGCCCTTGTGTGGAGCATTTGTCATGTTTTTAATTCCTTCTCCGGGATTACCAGAGGCCAGAACTGCCTCCAACTTCTCCTTATAGCTATACTTGGCTAACTGTATTTGTCTTTTAATATCTCTCTGTATGTCTCTCCTAGCAGACTCATCCTGGTTTTTATAAGCTTTTGTCTTCAGAATAATAAGCTTCTTTAAACTGTGAGACACCCAGGGCTTGTCATTAGAATATCTTTTGAAAGACTTAGTGGGTATCACAGAATCTACACAAAAATCAATATAACTAGACACTGTCCCAACCCGTTCATTAATATCGGGGGTATTGAATGTTTCCCACTGTGTGCAGTCAAAGCATCCCTGCAGAGCCATAATGCTGTCCTTACTCCACATTTTGACAGTCTTAACTTGAGGTTTCTCCCTCTCAAGTAGCCTCCGATAGACAGGGCGTAGGTGTACTACACTGTGGTCAGATGTCCCAAGTGGTGGAAGCGGGGATGCAGTGCTCTTAACAGTTCCATAGCACATATCCAGAGTCTTTTCCTTCCTAGTGTGGCATTTAACGTACTGGTAGTAGGTACACAGGGATTTTTTAACGGGACAGTTATTAAAGTCTCCTAGAAAGAACTTTGGCGCGTCAGGAGAAAGTGATTCAAGTCTCTGAGAGAGATTACAAATTATTTCGGTGGCTTTGTTAAAATTGGCTTTGGGGTGTATATACACCACAGTGAAGAATAATTGAGGAAACTTAATTCCCAGAAGATAGAACTCCCAGAAGATAGAACGGTCATAGAGAGACACACAGCAGTTCTATGTCCGGAATTAATTGCTCTCTTATCACCACTGCCCGACACCATTCGTCCCTGATGAGAAGACAGACTCCGCCCCCGCGTACCTTCTCGGTGATGATCGGTTCTCGGTCGGTTCTAAACGCCGAGAACCCGGAAGGCTCCACTACACTGGACTCGATGTTGTTATCCAACCATGTCTCAGTGATCGCAGGTAGCGGGTGTTGGCTGACAGCTCGTCCGTCTTTGCTCTCAGGGACTGCGCATTAATGAGTAGAGCGGTAGGCAGAGGGAGTTTATTTCCTAACCTTGTTAGCGAGAGGTAGATGGGTCCTTTTTAAAACAGTTCCAACACTGGTTAAGAACTCCTGTGACAGATCCGGAGATGTGTTGCGCAGCAGCAGCAACGATTCTCTGCTGTAATGTATTCCTCGGGCTGTGCCGCCAAGAGCATAGTCGTGGTTATATCCATGGGAGAAATAGCTGTTTAAAATCACTATAAACAGAGATCCATGATTTCTTCGATTCGGGGAGGTGCCGACATAAAAGACAGTCACAAGCACTCAAACAAACAAACTAGAACAAGCAAAATGCCAGCGCGAAACACCGCAGGGCAGCCACTGAGCAGCGCCCCGGTGGTCCTGTGCCTCAGCGGGAACTTTGCACTACAGGAATATTTATTTCCAGCTACTGTTGAAGACCAGAGGATTCTGTCCATCCTTCATTCTGGTCTTCCTGAAATGTGGCTGTGTGGATAGATACTGGACTCTGCAGCTGGCTAACAGCTGTTCATCAGGAAAAGGAAAGACCTAGGGACAGTTCTTACACCAGCCCCCGTTACCCCCCCCAGCTCCACCTCCAGCACCATTGCAGGGGTCAGGGTTCACCTGGCAATAGAGCTGGTTGTGACTTTGATGAAGGCTCAGTATCCTCCATCAGAAGTGTTTGTGAGATGGTGGAACAGCTTCTGAACAGCCTGAGTTTTCAGATGGAGTTTCACTGCACCTCCCAGTGTGGACGTTCACAACTTAACACTTTGGACAAGAGGAGGGGTCTGACGAGACTTTATACAAACTAGTTTTATTCTATCATAACCGGACTCTTACTGTGGGTTACAGCTTACTTCTGATCAGCAGATGGAGGTCGTCCTTTAAAGTTTATGAAGTTGTCCTTTGACCAGTCGCTCTTGAAGGACAGACAGCTGGGTTCAGGAGAGTCTGGTCTCGGCTGCTGGACCCTGAAACAGAAACAGATGAATATGCTTGTGTGACAGGAAATGTGTTTTAGGTTGACTTTTAAAATCTGTCCAGGGACTACAGATGAAAAATAGCCTCTTGGCTAACTCTGGCACATTTACAGAAATGTTCATTAATGTGCACTGTCCCTGTTAAATAAATGAATAAATAAATTAAATAAATAAATGGCATGTTTAAATATGATCAACTGAGACCCTGCTACTAGTTGCAAGGCATAGTAAACTCATGGTCTGTAGTTATGTTCGAATATGTAATGAGATTAAAAGATCATACTTTATATAGCTGCAGGGATTGACTAAAACCAAAAGTGGGTAACGAAGTTAAAATGTGCAACAGGATTAAAAATGGTTAGGCAGTTGTGTATCTTTACTTATACATTAGACATGATTTGACAAAGGGGGAGCATGTAGATGGTGAAGAGAAGAGGGCCAAGCACTGAGCCTTGCGGCACGCCTTGGTTGACTGGGGCTGGAGGGGAGCTGGAGTTTCTGATGGTGACAAACTGTTACCTGTTGGAGAGGTATGAGTGGAACCAGGATAGAGCTGTACTCGTAAGGCCAAGGTAGTTGGATAGGCGGTTGAATAGGATGGTATGGGAGATGGTGTCAAAAGCTGCAGACATGTCTAGGAGGATGAGGATACTGATGTGGCCTAAATACACATAAAGCAGCTAAAAGTGTTGAAGTGCAATGATAACACAGAGTGAGATGATCTCTGGATAGGAAGCACTAAAGAGAAAGATTTCAGACTTGATTTAAAGAACTCAGGGTGGGGGTGGACCTCAGATCTCAGGAAGGTTGTTCCAGATCTGCAGCGCATAGAAGCTAAAAGCTACCTCAGTGAATTTGGTTCTGACACTGTGGACGATGAGTAAACCTGCCCCGATGATCTGAGAGCTCTGGGTGGCTCGTTACAGAGCAGCATATCAGACATGTATTCTGGTCCCAATCCATTGAGTGCTTTGTGAGTTAAAAGTAAGATTTTGAAGTGTGTTCTTTGTGGTGTTGGAAGCCAGTGCAGAGCTTTGAGAGCTGGGGTGATGAGCTCAGTTCCTCTGGTTTTGGTGAGGACTCTGGTGGCAGCGTTCTGGATGAGTTGTAGTAAAACACTGTTGCAGTAATCAAGTCTGCCTCTATCATAACCGGACTCTTACTGTGAGTTACAGCTTACTTCTGATCAGCAGATGGAGGTCGTCCTTTAAAGTCTATGAAGTCGTCCTTCGAGGCGTCGCTCTTTAGGGACAGACAGCTGGGAGAGTCTGGTCTCTGCTGCTGGACCCTGAAACAGAAACAGATGCATCAAGAGAAGAAGAAGGAGCTCTTCATCGTCCCACAGAGGGGAAATGTACATTCTGCATCTGATCCATCCTAGTGTTAGGAGCAGTGGGCTGCCATATGTACGGCGCCCGGGGAGCAGTGTAGGGAACGCTGCCTTGCTCAGGGACACCTGGGTAGCACTTGGTCTTTTGGGGTCTTGAACCAGTGACTCTCTGGTTCCCAAGCCAGGTCCCTACGGACTTTGCCACCACCGCCCATACATTGAACCGCTGGAGAAAAACTGATGAAAATATGTTAAATCTAAAGTCACTCTTTACAATGTAATGGTATAAATCGCTCTGTGTTGCCCAACAGATGAACCTTCCAGACTTTCTGAGTGTCCTCTATCAGCCGGTGGACTGCTCTCTATGTGAAGGACTCGGGAAGATTTTCAGAGAAAATCCTAAAGACGTGAAGTTTATCTACAAAGTGCCTCTCGTCTCTTCAGCTGCCCTACAGCCAGCAGTGTGAAGCTAACGTAAACACATCTGTCTTTAGTGGATAACGTCACTGAGTTCATGCCCAGGATGCTAACTGCAGTTCACTTAATACCCACCGACGTCGCTAATAACCAGGATTTCCTGAAGGTTACACAGAAGCTTCAACACAGACAACAACTGACTCAAATGGCTTTTAGTCCGTTTTAAATTCTTACCCCCCGTCAGCAGATTGAGGCTCCATTGAGCGGTCACTCAGGAAACACAGCGGGACTCAGGTCCAGGTCCAGGTCCAGGTCCAGGTCCAGGTCCAGGTCCAGGTCCAGGTCCAGGTCCAGGTCCAGGTCCAGGTCCAGGTCTAGGTCCAGGTCCAGGTCTGCTGCTCAGGGCTTCAACACACAGATGTTTAAGTGTTACCAGTACATACTGAGCTTTAGTTGTGTAAACTAAGTACATGTATTCAAGTACTGTACTAAAGTACAATGTTGAGGTACTTGTACTTTACTTGAGTATTTCCATTTTATACTTCTTTGTACTTCTACTCCACTACAGTTCAGAGGTACATGGTGTACTTTTACTCCACTACATGTATTAATACCTTTAGTTACTTCACAGATGTGGATGAATGATGTGAAATATAATCAAGTGTTAAATCAGACTTTAGTTCCACCTGGAGTAAATTTACAAGCTACCCTGCAGTATACAAAGTCATTCAAACTATCTGCACCTTTACCAGCTTTGAGAACACTTTCATGATCAATCATTATAAAACATATCATATATATTATTCTGAAATGGACCAATCTGCACAATCACTACTTTTACTGTCGCTACTTTCACTATATTTTGATGCTAAGTGCTTTCTCGTTGCCTTTCTTTGTACTCTTCACTTCTACCGGACTCTGAAAGCTTTCTGAAATATTCTTCTTGTTCCAGTCACAGTTAGAGCTAGTGCAATAATGCATCCTGTTAGCTTGTTAGCTTGTTAGCTGCAGCTGAATCCTCAGAGAGCTTTAGACCTTCATCTGCAGACACACACAGAGCATCAGTCACTGAGAGCTGCAGGAAGTGTTCATATCTGTGCACGTGAACACCTGAAGTTCAGGCTGAGAGTAACAATGCGTCACATTTACTTATCATTTCATTCTATTCTTCACTCTCATTCATGGATTTGAGTTGGATCATTTTATTCCATGTTTACTGATCTAGTGTTTTTATTTCATGATCATTAACTTCTTGTCCTGTTTGCTTTAGATTTGAATGTATTTCTTATTGATCTATTTAGTTTTTTCCGGCTCAATCCCCACTATCCCTTCTCTCTGTTTATTTCTAAGCATGAAAACAAAGCAATCTGTAAAACATGGCTTCAAATGTTTTATTGATTCCTATTTATCAACCAATTTATTCATTTGTATAGTTATGTGTTTGCTTATTATTCATCTATGTATCATTTTCATTCTCTGATTATTATTTATATAATATTTATATTCTTCAATTGATGTAATTTTTATAATTGTTTCATTTATTTTTAGCTCTTTTCATCACTACTCCTGTTGACTCTATTTATTAATTGTATTATTATTTAATGTTTAAATGTCCACATTCATAATTTTATTTTTTGTAAACGTGTTTACTCATCTTTATTCTTCCACATGTATTATGTAAATGTTTTTACATTTGATCTTTTATTGTATTTCCAAAATGTCTACATATTTGTATCTCTCTACTTTGGTTTGTAACGTTTTTCATTAAACAGTTGACCTGTGAGTGAGGCTGTGGGATGTGTCGCCCTCTGGTGGCTGAGGGAGGAACATTAGTGTTGTTTTCTTTAATTACTAATGTTTACATTTCCACATTTAGTATTTAAAAAAATAGAGTTGTATTTTTAAACTATTCTGCTAAATGTTACCACACACACACACACACACACACACACACACACACACACACAGACACACAGACACACACACACTTATTGTATTTTAAAATGTTCTTATTTTATTAAATTCCGCTTCATATATTTTTACATAGGATTTTAATAGTTTTTTTTAATTCATATATTTTTTTATTTCCTGCTCTTCAACTCTTATCTTTATTTACTTTGGTTTGTAATGTTTTATTTTTGTATTTTAATTTATTTGATTAAACAGTTCGCCTGTGAGTGAGGCTGTGGGATGTGTCACCCTCTGGTGGCATGTAATGTTTACATTTCCATATTTTAGTATTTAAAATAAATAAATAAAAAAATGATTTGTGTTATTAATGCATTCCTCTTTATATTTACAATGTTTTACCTTTTTCTCTTTTGAAATGTTTATCTTTAAATACACATGTTTGAAACACTCCACCATCGTTCCTGTCCCCAAAAAGACAAAACCCACCAGTCTCAATGACTACCGCCCAGTAGCACTCACCTCCATCATAATGAAGTGCTTTGAGCGGTTAGTCAAATCATTCATCACCTCCTCCCTCCCTGACTCTCTGGACCCCCTGCAGTTAGCCTACAGAGCAAACAGGTCCACAGACGACGCCATAGCCCTCACCCTCCACACTGCCCTCTCACACCTGGACTAGAGGAACACATATGTGAGAATGCTGTTCATTGATTACAGTTCAGCTTTCAATACCATTGTGCCCTCCAAGCTGGCCATCAAGCTCAGAGACCTCAGGCTCAACAGCGCCCTCTGTGACTGGATCCTGAACTTCCTGACGGGCAGACCCCAGGCAGTGCGGGTGGGAAACATCACATCCTCCACCCTGATCCTCAACACCGGAGCCCCTCAAGGCTGCGTGCTCAGCCCTCTCCTCTACTCCCTGTTCACTCACGACTGCATGGCCACACACAGCTCCAACACCATCGTGAAGTTTGCTGATGACACGACCGTCATCGGCCAGATCACAGACGACGACGAGACGGCATACAGAGAGGAGGTCGCAAACCTGACATCTTGGTGCCAGGATAACAACCTCCATCTCAGCGTCAGCAAAACAAAGGAGCTGATTGTGGATTACAGGAAGCAGCAGGGAGAGGGACACGCCCCCATCGCCATCAATGGGACTACGGTGGAGAGAGTCAGCAGCTTCAGGTTCCTCGGGGTCCACAACACTGAGGACCTGACATGGACTCATCACTGAAGACCTGACATGGACTCATCACTAAGGACCTGACATGGACTCATCACTGAGGACCAGGATACTCTGCAACTTCTACAGGTGCACCATAGAGAGGATCCTGACCTTCTACAGGTGCACCATAGAGAGCATCCTGACCTTCTACAGGTGCACCATAGAGAGGATCCTGACCTTCTACAGGCGCACCATAGAGAGCATCCTGACCTTCTACAGGTGCACCATAGAGAGGATCCTGACCTTCTACAGGTGCACCATAGAGAGGATCCTGACCTTCTACAGGTGCACCATAGAGAGGATCCTGACCTTCTACAGGTGCTCCATAGAGAGCATCCTGACCTTCTACAGGTGCTCCATAGAGAGCATCCTGACCTTCTGCAGGTGCACCATAGAGAGCATCCTGACCTTCTACAGGTGCACCATAGAGAGCATCCTGACCTTCTACAGGTGCACCATAGAGAGCATCCTGACCTTCTACAGGTGCTCCATAGAGAGCATCCTGACTGGCTGCATCACGGCCTTGTACGGCAGCTGTACCGCCCTTAATCGTAAGGCTTTACAGAGGGTGGTGAAAACTGCACAGCACATCACCAGGACGGAGCTGCCATCCATGGAGGACCTTTACTCCCAGCGGCTCAGGAAGAAATCCCTCAGGATTATAAAAGACTCCCATCACCCCAGCCACAAACTGTCCTGTCTGCTTCCGTCTGGCAGGCGGTACCGCAGACTAAAACCACCAGACTCAGAGACAGCTTCATCCCACAGGCAATAAGACTGTTAAACACCTGAACTGTTGAAACATCCATAACATTCATTTTGCAACTTATATCAATATTCCAATTACTATAGACTATTCTGCACAACTTCTATTATATTCTATTTTATTTTATTTACTTGCACTATTTTAACTATTTCATCTGTTGTATTGTGTTGCTCTGTTGGAGGAGCCTGATGTGACCTCAGAATGTAATTGTCATAACTGTAGCTCTGCACACAAGACAATAAAAGCCTTGAACCTTGTACCTTGAACTTTGCTGGTCATGTGACGAGGATCATCCGTAGACAGTATGTATAAAGGTAACAACCACACACACACACACACGCACGCACGCACGCACACCGCACACACACACACACACACACACACACACACACACACACACACACACACACACACACACTGTTACAGTAGTAAGGACATATACAAAGAGAGAGGGTCTCTGAGTTATTCCCTGAGTAATGATTGATAATAATAATAGTTTTTGTGTACAGGTGTATCTCAGGTAAAAACAGGAAGAGAGTTAAAGTCTGTCTCTGAGTCTCTAAAGTTAAACTAAAGAGTTGTTCTTATTCTCTGAGCAATGATTGATAATCAGAGTTGTCTCTAAAAGCTCTGAAGTCACAAAGAGTTACAAACCTTTAGAGAGAAGAAGAAGAAGGTGCGACACGACCGACGAGCACGAAGTGAAGTTAAGATGGACATATATTAACTTAATTAATAATTAACTGAAAAGCAAAGAGGAAGTACTTCAAAATAAGAGCACTTACAGAACATTTTATTTATATTCCTTCTACTCTTACTCAAGTGAGATAGTAAGTCATATTAATTACATTTTAAGTTATATTAATGATAGTTTAAGTCATATCAGATTATAAATCATATTAATGAGAATATAAATCTTTTTAATGATTTACAGAGTAGATATGTTCTTTTCTGTGATGGAAATGGTCTTCCCTAATCTCAGGTCTAAATCTCTGCAGTGTGTAGTTTCAGGGTGTATTGTGTGTGAAATGTTAAATGTAGTTGCACCGTTTGGCCACGATTTGCATCAGCGTCTGGCGCACTACCAGGGGTCTTTGCTCTGTCTGCTGGCCGCTCTGCCTGCTCCCTCTCCCGGATGAACAGAGACGAAATCCCCGGTCCTTCTCCCGGTGCTTTCTGTGATGCTTCACTTCCAAACACCGACATACCTCAGCTCAGCAACAGCGCTAAAGGTACTTGTTAAGACCTTTCACTACGTTATATAACCTTTAACGCACCTTACATGTTTTAATGAATACGTTTTAAAACGTTCAGGTAATTACGGTCATGTGTTTTGACTGGTGGCTAATGTTAGCTAGCATCGAAGCTAATGTAGGCTAACTGCCACCTGTTGCCATAGCTACAGCTGATCAGAGAAAAGTTTAATCAAATCTAAGTTTATTTATAAGATTCAATATTAAACAAAACACGTTTGTCTCTCAGTGGGGTTTACATTATTAA